AATGCCGAGCAAATGATACAAAAGAGCATATCAGGGAACAAATTCTGAACGATAACTTGTAGCTACTTAACAATGATTTAAAAAAATTAAAAGCATATCGATTCCAAAACAATATAAATTTTAACAAATGCGAGGTTTAGGGTTTTAGCAGAGCCGCCAGGTTACGAGACGCAGAGGATGCAGAGAAGAGAGAAAGGAAAGCTTACGACAAAACGACGGCGTCCAGGGGACTTGTTGAGAGACTTGACAGCTCGAGCATGTGAAGGGGTGGCCATGTTCTGTCAAGTGTTGCAGCTGCAGCTGCAGAGATGCATAGAAACGAAGAGAGAAATAGGAGGGAACAAAACCCACTCTGTTATCTAATGTCAATTTCCTCTCTTGGACCAGCCCAGCAACTTAACCTAGTCCCACCTCCAATTTACAATTTTTCTTTTAAATTTCTAAAATACATCTATTATTTATCTAATATATAACAACATTTTCAACTTTAATTTTCATATATTAAATACAAATTTTTATCTTGTATAACAGTATTTTTTAAAAAAAATTCTTTAATGAGAGAATTAAATAATTCTTTTTAATTTTTTATCTAATTTAATTTTTAGGGTTTAAGGTTTAAGGTTTATTATAATTTTTATTATCATAATTTTTTATTTTTTTTTTGGCTGGCCCCAAGATTTAACGCGGCTGCATACACAAGGCAGGATTCGAACCCCTGACCTTGCTTAAAGGTGGATCAACCCCTACCGCTAAACCACACGCTTGGGATTTATCATAATTATTTATGAACTAATTAACTTCTATATATATAAAAAAAAATCACAATCTTATACAATAGCATTTTTATGAATTTTTCCTTTGACGATATAATTTTTAGAAATTTTTTTACCTTCATATCTAAATATCATAATTATTTATAAATTAAATTTTAATATTTTAAAATAATTAATTAATAAATAAGAATAATTTTGTGTTACAATATAATTATTTATAAATTAAATTTTAATATTTTAAAATAATTAATTAATAAATAAGAATAATTTTGTGTTACAATATAATTATTTATTATAAATAAAGATATAATTTATATATTTAAATTTTTATTTTTTTTTAATTTTAATCAACTTCTATAGATAAAAGACAAAATATTATCTTATGCAAAATTATTTTTAAGAAATTTTTTTCAACAAAACTTTTTTTATGAATTTCTTTTAACTTTATATCTAATCATCATAATTATTTATAAATTAAACTTTAATATTTAAAATAATTAATTAATATATAAAATAAATTTGTACTGTAATATAAATTATTTATCGTTAATAAAAAATATAATTTATAAATTTAAAATATATATTTATTCAAAATTTAAATGTAATTTATATATTAAAATATGATATTTATTTATATACATAATTTATTTTAAAATAATTATATATAACGCACATTAAACATATATATTGCATATGCTAAAAAAAATAGCTATAAAAAAAGGGTATGTCATGTAAATAAATGTCATATCACAACATCATATTAATTTTTTTTCCCTAAATTTTCAATGATTTTTTATTCTATTTTTTCATTCATAAAATTAAAAGTTATCTATATGAAATTCAAAATTGAACTATAATAGATATGAAAAAAAAAGAAGAAGAAAAAAACTAAATTATAAAAAAATAAATAATTTTAAGAAAAGAATTAAACATGTAATATGCTAAAATACTAATTGTAAAAGAAAATATGTTACGTAAACAAACGTCACATAACAATCCCATATTCATTCTTTTTTCCTAAATTTTCAATGATTTTTATTCTAGTTGTTCATTCATAAAATATAAAAGTTATCTATATGGAATGCAAAATTGAACAATATTAGTTATGCAACAACAAAAAACTAAACTAAATTATCTAAAATTGAATTCAACTAAATTATAAAAAATAAATGTTTTTAAGAAAATAATTTAACATATACATTATATATACTAAAATACTACTTATAAAAGAAGGTTATATCACGTAAGAAAATGTCATGTGATAACACCATTTTTTTTGTCTAAATTTTCAATGATTTTTTATTTTATATTTTAATTCATAAAATATAGAAGTTATCTATATGAAATTCAAAATTCAACTATAAAAAATGCAAAAAAAAAAAAAAAACTAAATTATCTAAAATTGAATTCAACTAAATTATAAAAAAAATAAATGTTTTTAAGAAAATAATTGAACCAATCAAATCACTTTTACAATGTAGTTATATTGGATTTTATTTTTATTTTTTTTAACATCAATTTTAATTTTATTTGCTAGAAAATTTGAATAATACATTCATATTTATTAGTAAGATCGAAACATTTAATACTTCTATGTATTTTGTTTAAAAAATAAAAAATAAAAATGATAGATGTTATAGAATGTAAATAAAATGAGATAATATATGATTAGAAAAGATTAAAATAATCTTAAATAAATTTGAAAACTAATATTTATAAAATAAGAGTTAGTTATTATTGGTAGAGTGGATAATTAATTTTATTTATACATATTTTTTCTTCTATTTTACTCTTAAGAGATATGATGGTGAAAAGAAAATAATATATAATAAAGATATACAAATGTCTCAAAAATGTAAAAATCAAAAAGAGATATCCTTTTATATATGATATAGATTATGAAAAAGATATCTCTTAGTAATTATTTTTTTTATTTTCACTTTTTTATTAGATATTTTTATTCTTAAATTTATACTATAGACTTTGTAATTTTTATTCTATTTTTTAATTCATAAAATATTTTAATATATTTAGTTATAGTAATTATACAATATTATACAACATTATATATACTGATCTATTATCTATAATATATTATAAAAGAATGTTATATCACGTAAGTAATTATACAAGATTTGGAGCTCCATTTATGTAGTTTGAAGGTTTTACGGTTGAAAAAAAAATATGAAAGATTTGATTGCATCTTGATTCAGCTTATAGTGTATATGAAACCATGCAAACAAAATGTTAAAGAGGAGAGAGAGAGGATTAATAAAGTAGAAAAATTTAGAGACGAGATGAAAGGATTATGTGCCGAGCAAGACAGTTTGGTTATTGTTTTGCCATAAATAACGGAAATCCACTTGTTCCAAAACCAAGCATATCTTTGACAATGCCTCTGTGTCCACTTAGAAATTATTAATAAACTTGAACATGTTTCTTAACTAATCTTTACATAATATATAATTAAGTGGTTTTTATTTTTTACTTATACATCGACAAACTTAAATGTGTGTCACATAAAAATTGATCGAGACCATGGACATTTAAGGGTTCTTCACTATCTAATAATTTCTCTTGTCAACCCTTGATACAATAGCAATTAGTTGTCTTTCATAATTATCTATAAAATATTGTTTACCATAAACAACAATTATTGTCTTTCCTTTATTTTTCCACTGCGTGCTACGTGATGGCAAGGTGATCCGGTGGCAAGATCCGGTGGCAAACGGATCATAGAAGACCAAACTGCAACGAGTTTATTGAAGGATTAGTTTGCGATACAGTAAGTTGCACCACCACAATTTTTAGTACAATTTACATCACGCAAATAGTTACATTCTTATTATTTCGACTATGGAAAATGTACCAAGCAATGTGGCCTGGCATGCATGCAACAAAAACATAATCATCCTTGTGAATTTTTTTTTCTCCATATTTTCGAAATGGCTACAGGCAGGGTAGAGACGAGTTACGTGGCAGCATAGTGTTTGGCAAAGGTTGGATAAAGTCAACTTGCAAACTTTCAGTCATGGAAGTTAATTTGCTGTGACCATAGTAATCTCTGTTCTGCTTCACATGTTAGCACATGACAATCTGGAATGATCTCATACATTCTGATTGAGAGGAACAGTAGACTCCGTAACTGGATCTTGGTTTCCTTCACTATCAGATGGTTGGGATTCATGTTTGGCAGCAGCCTGCAACACCCGATTCTGAACATCTAATGATGAAGGGGATGTAGGTAATCCTAAGCCATTGGATTCTAATTTTCCAGCAGCCCATGAAAATGCTTGAGCTCCAAGTCTAATAGGAGCAAGCAACAACCTTTGAAGGAGAAAATAAGACAATGATATCAAATTTTATAGCAGATGACACAGTAAAAATGCTAAGAAAGGATAAAGAAACTGGTATTTTTGTTAGCGGCTATTTACTATTCTAAATCATATCTTTCTACACCGAAGATTGATTATTTGTTTAAATTTTTTAGTTTTCTATTCTTCTAGGAGAGAAATATATTCTAGATGTCATGAAATTTCAGACCGAAACTATTCTCCCCAAAATAAAAAGTGCTTATGCATTTGTGTCACGCTCTCTATGTTCACGTTTATCAGTCTATGTATAGACACATGTTCTGATCCTTTTACAAGTCTAAAATCATAACTTTTGTCTATGCAACGGCAAATTAAGTTAACATGATTCATAATATATAGGCAATAGTTCAGAACATAAAGATGATTGTGACAGACTTTCCATGACTTGAATATTAAGATAACTTGTTAAAAACGGAAAATATATGACCATATTCATAAGATAATATTTAAATTACTAAAAGGTAGTCTAATTTCGTGATTATATGATCAAATATCCATCGTGAAGTAGACTTACCTCACATCTTGTCTTAGATCTTCTGAGTTTTCATATGAAGAAACCCGCAAATATATGGTCTGGTAAATATACAGCGAACCATTTGTGAGGAAATGGAAAATCTCTGATGATATGGACCAAGAAGAGACTATAAAACATGACAGAATTTGAGAATTTCCCAGAACACAGATATACGAGCCCACCATGTGATTTCCAACATAAAGTGGATACATAAACTAAATCTCCCTCTGAAACTTTTGAAAGAAACAATTCAATTGAAAAGCACTTCCACTCTGAAAGGAAAATGAACATACCAAACCGAGGCCAAATGTACCAATTAACTGTAATGTCTTCTCCCACTCTGAAACAATATTGATTTTGCTTTGTCAGATCAGGAAAAATAGGGGGAAAAAAAGCCTCATCCCACTTGATAATGGTGAACAATAAAGTAATGGAATTCATTAGGTTTTCATTAAAAAATAAATCAATCAAAGACATTGAATCACTTAGTGCATGATTTTTGATGAATTTAGATCTTCAGTCTAAGCTACTGAATCAAAACAAATATGCATATACTACATAACCTCTTAAACATAGTGCGAGTAAAAGTAGACTAATCACTAATCAGCTTCACACAAATCTATGTTTGTGGGCATACGTATGCAGAGGCACCTATTAAAATGAAGAAAATTCTACAACCTCAGGCTACTGCCATAGAATTTAATGGAACCCAAAAATTGAGTTTTAAATTCTTAACAAATTATTAGTTTATACATGGACGCACCTAATAATGCATACAGCCCTGCAATAAGTCCCTGAAACAAAAGTAATTGCATTTATTAGCAGATAATAAAATCGAATATAATCATGTAGCCATTGAAAAATCAAATAAAAATATGAAAAAGATTCCTTCATGATACCAAGGAAGTAGACAAAATATTTGTTTAAGATTATTGTCTATTACTGAGGAATATTCAGTTACACACACATTCAAGCAGCAATAAGTGAATTTCTAAAAATTTAGAACAAAAGAACAAATTAAATAACTAGAAACTGCTATCAAATTCCTTTTCCCCCTTACTTTTCACAACACAAGTTGCTCCACTAAAAATTTGTTTTCTACCCTATGGTAGTATTCTACATATCTTGCTATGAAAAAACATGAACCATACAAATTTGACTTAATAGTTAACAGAGAATCCAACCAAATTGACTAATAACAGTTGGAAAAATCAAAATGTCATTCAAGTAAGTCGACACTTACTGTACCATAACCTAAAAGTTGCAAAGGAGAAGGCCTAACATCCTCCAGAATTGCTTCAGCTTCCTGTAAATGTACCAAAATGCATGTGCATCAATTAAAACCCAACATATAAAATCTAGCTTAAGTTTCCCTTTTAATTTTTTATGTCTTCAAATTAAAAAGCATAGACACAGAAACAGATGGGACCCAGGACACAATAATGAAAGAAGTCGACACAGTTAGAGTAGTTACAGAATTAGTTAGGTAAAAAGAGTAGTGAAAGAATTGGTTAGGTGGCTAGCTTGAATAGTAACAGGGGGTAAAAGAGGATTCCTTCTGAATTGTTAATATTGGAGAAACCAGCTCTAGCTCAGTTATATAGGGAAACCCTGGGAAGGAGTATTCTCTTTTTTTCTCTGCTTGTCATTCAATCTATCATTACAGAAGCATTGTTTAACTTACTCTCTTCTCAGTTTTCTAACCTCTCTTAAATTTCAGGTTCTGTTTTTTGGGTTTGTATCTGACACACACAGAAGAGGAAGTCATACTAAAATAAGTAGAAAGAAGGCTGGCAGAAGTCTTAATTATTCAAGAGAGAATCAGAGACAAGCAATTACTGGATTAAAAATTTATACTTGCACTTATTTTGTCCTAAAAGAAGATTTATAAAGCAACTGCATTCTTGATAAACTCCTAAAGAAAGATACCGAGGGACTACTTTAAAGTTTACTAAAATAAAATGCAAAATCATACATGGTTGAAACTTTTGTGTTAATTTTCAAAAGACAGACATTGAAAAGTGGAAGACAAATAATTATAGGTAGCTAGCCAATCGCTTACTATAGAAATCAATTTGGTGATTTCAGGCTTAAATTCATAGTTAAAGCATCTGAGTAGCAGTATGCCAGTACCATTATCTAACCCTCTAGAGTTTTCATCCCATTATTTTTAGTTACTTAAGCTAACAAAATTGGTAAATAACAGTAGTTTGATTAATACCTCATTGAGTATGGAAAGTGCTGTCTCTGGTTTGAGCTCCTTGATGCGGACACCTTGATTAGTCCAAGACTGAAAGCCACCTTGAACCACGTATGGATTCTGTAATATCATACACAGGTTGTCAATTCTATGATACTCGATTATATGGATTTGATTTCAAAGTTGGTGATTAAGTAGATTGCACAGAATGTATCTGTTAGTCAACCTGGGACATACAAACAACCACTAAAGCACAGATACTTGAATTAGAAGGAGCTGTCTCTATGTCTAATACATATCTGACAATTGGCATTATTGACATGGAAAGACTAAGTGTTAGATTGAACATATGAGTTAGGGCATCTGGAATCCAATCAAATTCTTTTTTTTTTTTTTTTACAGTTTCAAGCAATCAAAGCCTTGTGTCCTTTGCTGGAGTATTATGAACTAGCTCATAAATAACAATATTTTAACTTCAAAAGTATGAGTTCAATCCATTTTTATTCAGAACTATCATGTTATATTTTATATCAATGATAAAGATACGGCTAACATTGAAATCAAGCAGACAATAACATAGAGTTGAGTTATGTAGAATAGTGGGTACATTAGCCGGGATTCTTCTCTATCATTATCTTACATTTTCACATGGCAGAGCTCTTCAACCCCAACCTTTAAATACAAATGCCAATTTCAAGGATCCTATATCACATATGGAAGCAACATAAACTGTTCTGTGTTATCTAGATCCCAAACCTCACAGTACAAAGCTAAATTCAGCAAAGAATTTTATGTAACATATCAGTAATTTTGCAGCAAATATCTCAGCAGGTATTAACAGACTTGCCTTGACTCCAATTTTCCTCAAGGATCTTGCAATGCCTTTAGAACGAGTACCATCAGCATCCAACACAATAACCCTGGAACTGTCCTATAGGCCAGAGAAATAAGATTTTGAGACATCATTTGTCATGCCAAATCCTAATCATATATAAAAAGTATTGGCACACAAACTCAACTCATTGAATATATGTGACTATCTCATACAATGAACTTCTACCTATTGTGCAGGATGCAAGATATATAGGCACAGCCACTTTAAAAGCCCCATTTAAAGTCCTCAGAAAAATTAAAATGATGAAACTGCCAAAAGACAATGCTTATTTTATAAACACTACATTACTTTAGCATGTAGTCACTGGTATTACTCTTAAGGTATTTTCAAACCATAATATTAAAATAGAGAAAGAGAAAATCTAAAAAGAGGAAAAGTTTTTGGGTTTATTCCATGAAATAATAGTCCGTATTCTGAGATACAAAGATAAAACACCTTAACAATCTTCAAATTTCGAATAATAGCAGCAATCAAGGAGTCATCGAGATCTCTACCACTCTTCAACAACTTGCGTATGGAGCCATCAACCTGACAATTGTGTAATATCCTATATTAGCAACAGACAGATTACAAATTAATTACTAACCCATCTAACAAACGACCAAGATTCTGGATTGCCCATTTAACCAAGTTAAGATGTACCACAATTATCCAAGTCACATCTTTTAAACATTATTGTGCTTTAAACCAACCTCAAGTGGAATTATACTTGCATAACGAAACCGAGCAGCCCGTCGAAGATCAGGAATGCCATCTTTTTCTCGCATTTCCTGCATAAAAAAAAGGAGCAGTAAATGCATTGGACAATTTTGATATCAAAATAGTTGGCCAAACGAATGCAAAATGATAGGAAAACTTCCAAAATATGAGATGACCATAGTTTGAGTTTGGAATAAGTGTTGAACAAAAAGATAATGGGTTTCAAAACACGGGGATAGTCGGGCTTTACCTTCAAAAGTTATATAACTATTTTTCCTGCTATGAATAAAAGCCAGAAAAATTAAATCATAACTTGCCTCGGTGCGGACATCAATAAGTGCAGCATTTGAGTCCTCAGCCAAAAGCTCCAAAGCTGATTTAGGGGATAAATCTCCTGAGTAACCTCCGTATGTCCACAACCAATAAAAGGCCCTGCATATCTCTGAAATCTATTACAGATAGTGCTTGTGATGGAAATTGAATTCGCTAATAGATAAATAACAAAATTTACTTTTGAAGAAGGAGAAATTCACATACCATAATGTGGCTGAAGAGCCTACAAAAACAATAAATGGAATAATTGGGTCATTTGGATCCAAGCCGAGACCCTTCTCCAATGAATAGACAGCCATGTATATCTGTCGATGGAGCAAAAATTGTCACAATTCATAAAAAGACTAGAAACAGCTAACAAATTTAGAATGTTTGTGAAACGAAACAACATATTGAGAACATATATTCAGAATACTTCAACCACCAATAAGTGCAAAGAACTTTTTAAACAAAGCTGTCGAAGAGCCACGCGTGAAGAAGATGATTTGACTCAACTTATTTGGTAACTCAAATCAAGTTCAAACAAACATATGAGATTTTCAAGGAGATTTAAGACTTAGAATCAGGTAAAGTTGAGAGTAAAGGATCTTATTGAAACTTCTATTAATCTGTAAAACATTACCCTTTCCGTTGCGGACCCAACAGGCCTCAAGATTTCTGTTGCTTTGTCTTCATATACATTGACTGTATCCCTAATTCCTGCAGGAAGGAGCTCCTTGGCAGACCCATATAGGTAGATAACATAGGAAGCCCCACTTGTTAGAGAACTCTCTACTACTACAATTGTGCGGCGCAACACATCAATAGCCACAGCAGGTACTTTATTTGTGACTCCACCCAGCTCACTTGAAAAGCTGGTAAGTTTCTTATTTGCTAATTCCCCTGTTTGATCAACAGCCGAAAATGCCTTACCAAAAGCGTTGTCTATAGATTCATTAGCAGTTTTAACAATAGAATCTACAAAAGAAGTGGCTGTATCCACTGAGCTTCGTAAAGCATCTTCCCCCTTATTGATTGAGGCATTGAATGATTCATTGATCCCAGCGAAAACGTCTCCAACACTTGCTTTTGTACTGGTTAACGATTCATTGTCCACATTAATTGAACTAGGACTTGGTGCAAACTTCTCTGGCATTATATCAGTACTTGATAGTGTTTCTGGTGGTGTCGGTGCCTGTTCTGCAAAGTCCACAGAAGATAAATGATAACTCTCCATGTGTGTGACTTCCCCATTACTAAGTGAATGATACCCATCTGTTGTCACTGGTGAATAACCCCATGTGCTTGTAAGATATCCTGATTCAGTTGGTGAGGAAAAACTAGCCAAGACCGTCTTTGTAGCTTGCACTGTAAATGAATTTCTCAGTGAATGTGTTCCATATTGTGAAGCCAGATGCAAACCTTCTTCCCCCACACATCTGCTCTCAAGATCCTTTCGAATTGGGTGTAATCCCCCAAACAAGGGAATCTGCAATAACAACATCAATTGTTTCACAGTGATAGATATGCTATTCCTGAAGCACCCAGACAGATCATGAATGTATGCTGAACAAAGCAGAAGCACTGAACATTGTCAGAAAATTGAAAAGAAATGGATAGAAACTGACCTGGGAAGATGTGGCTGAGCAAACAGGCAACATTCTCATATTGACGATCACTAAACAAACACTTCAATCAAACATAACAGGTTTTCCCTGCTATCATCCTCCGCTTAAAAATCAACAACACATACATTTCTAATTATTTTATATTTTATATTTTACAAATTAGAGAAACAAGAACCGTGATTTTGAAATCAAAGTGTTATTATACTCCAAATCACAAGCATCCAATCCAAATTAACACAAATCTTTAATCTAATATGTTTTAATTTAATGTGTTACAAAGTTACTCACCTTAGCTAGCTCCTTTGCGTGTGCTTATGTCCCCCCCTCTTTTTTGTTAATTTATTGTTTGAAGTTTGATTGAGCTTAAGGTTTATTTATTTAAAAATAAACGTAGAAGAGAAATTTTTGTGGAATGTTTTGGTAGATTATCCAAATGGATATGGTGGAACACGCACGGCTCATCCTATTTGCTTCTTTTTTCGTCTCTTATGCACCAACGACACCACACAAACTCACATCACACATGGATCACTCGTTTTGATGCCAAACAAATTTACTATTAGTATTAAAATTTCAAAAATGTTGTGTGTATAATTTTTATGGAATAATTTTGTTATCTTTTTTTTAATTTTAAGTAGTATTTTTGAGACACGTGTATGCAAAAAAAAATTCATATGATTTTAATATGTGATGCTAATTATTTGAGGTTTAAATAATGGGATTGTTAGAATCACATACCACTGTTTAGGAAACATACCTGTACTGTACCTGTATTCAGGTATATAACAATTTTTGGTCCATAGAGATAGAATATCTAGGATCGTATATAAAATTTTGGTCTTCAGGTAAAAGTTATGCCTAAATTGTAGTTTAGTATAATTTATCAATCACAATTTTGTTTTCTAGTATTTTTGAGGTGCAAAAACCAATTTATTCAATCTACTTTAAAACATAGTTATTTGAAAATAAAATTTAAATATCTTTAATTTTATGAAAATTCTTTCAACGCTAATAACGGTAATAAGTTTTCTAATAATATTCTTTATAGATGTCAAAAAAAAATTTATATATAAATAATGCTTACATTTGGGAGCAAACCTAGTATTCTAGTGTCACTGATTAGATGTATCAATTAACGTGTGACTGTTTTAGCTAATAGTATCAAGTTTGACTCACGATATTCGTTACGTTTAATAATCAAACACGTTCTTTTATGAACACTTATTTTAATAATTTTAATTTTAAAGAAAACATAGCCGTTATTATTAAAGTACTTGTCAAAATTAAAACCTTTTTCAATATTAATACAATTATATTTTAGTTTAATACAATTTTAATTTTAAAGTACTTGCATAAGATAAATATTGATTTTATAATAATATCCTCGATGTGTGCTCTTACGTGTAGTTAATTATGTACTTCTGCTAATGCTGCAAGGATGAATCACTTCAAACATGCTCCTAATGAGAATGGTTTTAAAAACAGATGCCTCTTTGCAGGTTAGCTTGGGAAATTTTCTGTTCTTCACTATTCTGGCCATTTTGATGATTGGTGTGAAAACCCAGAAGGTGGTGATGATGTAAATGATTTTGATGACATGCCGAGTCTTAATCCTCCGGAACACTTGAAATTACTTGTTGACCTTTGATAAGTCATGCCTCTTTGAAATTTGTTGATTTTTCAAGACTTATCCATTGGTAATGTATCAGGGTTGGTATTCTTTTAATAACTGATAAAATTTGGAGAAATAAATTAAACTAAGACTTTGATTTGATTAGTCATGAATTTTTTGTATTGTCTAGTTTTGTCCACGCTAAGAATGACTAAAGTGGCAGATTTTGTCTTATCTACTTGCCTTACGTATAATTCAACATATAGTTGCCAAATTTTACTTTTAAAAAAGTGGAAGTTTGACGCATTTCGTAGGGTGTTTAGTTATTTGTTTCAAAGTATCGAAATCTGTATTTTTACTTTTTAATTAATGAAAACCAAAAAATAAGATTATTATTTTAAAGTAAAAGTAAGTTGAATTGAAGTGAACTTTTTTACCTAAATATACAGGTAAAGGAAGGCTTGTTTGCTTGCATGTAAACGTAAAAATACATCAAACTTTCAGCAACGCAGTGGTGCTAGTAGGCAGTAGATCATGTTGGGAAGCACGAGTGAAAACGCGAAGATCATGTCTTCTCAACCTCTTGGAAGTTTTGTTTGACATGGACGTGTTTGTTTACTCGACAGCGGAGGAGTGCGCGGCGTGCTTGAGCAAGTTTGAAGAGAGCGACGCTGTAAAGAATAAAGATGGTGCCGAAATGTGGACACGTTTTCCACCAGCATTGCATCGATGCATGGTTACACATTCATGTCCCATTTGTCGCCAGAACAACGGGAACTAGGTACACACTCTGGAGGGTGAAAGTCAAAGTGTTGTTGGACAGACACAGTCACAGTGGGCAGCTCTCCTCGGCTTCAATGACAAGAGGCCCTTCACCACCACCAAATAAACCCCAATAAAAGACTCCCATCATATAAAAACACCACCAAATGTGAAACATCCAAACACAAGTACTTTGCAATTCTTGCTAACAATTTCAGATTTTAATTGTTTGTTTATACTCGGGAACCACCCAAACAAATGGTAGTATTTTGATCTGACCATGGTATAGAGGAGCTGGGCAGTGTGCAGTGAAAGTGGAGGGAAGAAAAAAAATTTGGTACAGAATGTATACCATAAAAGTATAAGGATCAAATAAATCTAATGGTTGTTAAAAATGGTACACCATGAACCACCTATTAAGATAGTATTAGTCTAATTAATTAGGATATTCAACGGTACACATTAAAAATTCAACTCCATCAGTAACTACTAACTTCTGAGAAACAAGTCAATCATATCTTTAGTTGGTATGATATCCCTTGTAATAGTTTTTAACTCAACACTGCCCACTGATAGCAAGGACTTGCAAAATGATGAAATAACCAAGAAAATTTACAGGAAACCAAAAAATTGAATCCGACTACTAAGACCCTTTTACCCCCTCTCTATCATACATATTCTAGTAAATAGGATTTCTATGTTACAAATCAAAATTGTGGTCTAGTTTCTCTTACATTCTCATTCTCATTCTCAATTAGAAAGAACTAGCTAGCTGCCCAGGCAAAGATCTAGACAAAAATTAATTTTTTTTTTTTTTTAAAAAAAGAAAATTTGCACCAGCTTGCTCATCTTTTCCCCACAACCTGCAGCTGCCTTTATGAAGTCTAATCTGTAAATGAATTACTCTGCATGAAGTAAGAATCACAGCCCCAATTAGGCCACCAGCAATGCACCAAACATGTAATCACTTATGACAGATCCTTCCCTCCAACCAGTTCAAGATCAAGGCCAACATTATTTGTTGCTAGCATGCAATTAACAAAAGAATGCATCAGAAAATAAGAATCAATTTAGGGCTCCGATGCTGTTGTTTCTCTCAAATAGGGGGAGCCAACAGAGTGAGTCCAGTCCCTTGAGCAGATATTTTTGAAGAGTATCATGTGCCACTTAAACAATCAGTCAGTATGGAATGACATACGGAAGAGCAAAAATATCTGCTGGCTCTATATGCACAGCTTCTGCCCATACTTGCAGTGTATCCCCAACCTCCAAAGATTTAACTACAGATTTTCTTTCCTGTGAGCTACTGCTGCCCAACAACCATTGTTGGTCATCAAAATCAGACCACCCATCTGTTTTGGGTACGGAATATACCTGACTTATGTACTTGGTATCTGGATGGGGTGGTTTTGCAGATGCTTCACTCACTGGATCAGCTGGAATGGTAGTGGTGGGAGTTTTGTTGGAGGAAACTGCAGATGGTAGAGCTTCAATAATGCCATTTATCCTGCGTTCTTTGTTATCAACCTTGACATTAGAGGCTGCTCCCAGCCTATCAGATGTATTCAGAAGGGAAATTTGGCAGGGTTCCAATATCCTTCCATTTTCAGTGAGATGAGAGGGAGAGGGAGAGGGTTTAGGCAACTTACTGGGCCTGCTGTCATTTTCTGTAAGAAAATTCAGAAATGAATGTCAACCAGCAGCAAATTACAGAGCATACAAAATCAACAAAATAATTATTACAACAAAAAAGAATAGAACCATTAAAACATGGAAAAATCTCATAGGATGCAGATATCAGTTATTAGGTCAATGACAATATTTTAAATCCATCAAGGCAAACGTTCTATTTTATCTAATTACAACAATAAGAACATGATTCATCATGTACGACACTCACCATGCATAATTCCATTTGATTCAATGTTCTTCCGCTTCTTGTAATTTTCCCCAACAGCAGAACTCTCATGGCTGTGCCTGGAAACCTGTGTGAAAGAATTTGAACCTAACAGACCAGCTTTGCTGTCTTCTTTTAATTTATTCTGCTGCTCTCTGTTTTCATGTTCAGCATTCCCCTTTGCTTTCTCCTCCTTTTTCTTCTCTTTATTCCTGTCTTTGTCCTTTCCATGTCCTTTTTTCCCCTTCTCTTTGTTTTTCTTTTTATCTCCCTTCTTATCATCTTTTTTTTCCTTAACCTTCTCCTTTCCTTCAACTGTTGTTTCCAAAGGTTTCTCAAAATTCTTTTCCAGAGGTTTGGGCATTTCACCAACCCTGGGATGAAAATTTTCAGCATGATTCTGAACTGTTGCATTTCCAATAGGTCGGGACTCTGTCCAGATTCCTCTCCTATCAACCTTTCTGGTATCAATGCCCTTATCGTGAAACCTTTCCTTACCATCAGGCCAGGTGCCACTACCCTTGGCAACCAACCTAAGAGTCCCCTCATCCTTTCTGTGTTCTGCAGCTGTAAACTTTTTAACCAATTGAGTCTCAGCACCTCCATCGTTATTCCTAATCCTCCTGTCAAACTCCAGGAGGAATTTAGAATTCTTATTTTCCTCAGCCAAATGATTATTCTCTCTGGCCTTCTCTCCATTGTTATTGGCATACTGTTTGGAAAGTTGATCATCAAGTAAAACACTCTTCCTATCATTTGGTTTGACTTCCTTTTGATGAAGTTTACCTGCATTGAGACCCTGAGCTTGTCCTGGAAATTCTTTCTCAATTGCAGCACTGATTTTGCTCTTATCTTTATCTCTGTCCTTGTCCTTGTCCTTATCCTTATCTTTCTTTTTTTCTCTGTGTTTTTCTTTTTTGTCCTTCTTTTCCTTATGCTTTCCATCCCTTCCTTCTCTGTCTCTCTTTTCCTTCTTCTCCTTGTCTCTCTTCTCTTTTTTATGCTTTTTATCTCTGTGTTTTTCCTGCAAATTGTATGGTGAAAATTAATATTTTAATATTAAGACTAACAATAAAATAAAATGTGGAAACGAACAAAATGACTCCACATCTCCATTCCACCCTGAAAAGAAATGTGAAAGAGAATAATATCCAGAGAAGAACCATAACCAACATGGTCTGCTCCTAGAAGATCCAGCAAAGAAAATAACAACACCATTAGATGCTCACTCTTCTACACACAAAATACACAGCAACTAGCAGTTAATTTAGTCATTTACAACCAGAGGGACGCAAAAAAAAAAAAAAAAAAATTAATAAGCACAAGAAAAAAAAATTTTAAGCATGCGATGGTCTCTGTGAAGTGTAAACAGACAATCATTTACTTGCAAAAATAAAATTCATACTCACATAAGTAGCCAGTATGCAGTTCAATACAGAGTGATCACAAGTTTAATATTTGAGGTACAATTTCTTGCAAGAATTAATATGCAAGTAAATAAGTCCAACATCTCTTAAATTAAGATAATAATATATACAATAATCCCAACAATTAACACAAGTTCTCTGTTTTAGAATCTTGCGATTCAATACAATTCAGCTACCTACTGATTCATATCATAAGATGAGTTTTAAATGACTTTGTATATTACGATAACATGAATGAATTTGTACAATTTCATATGATCAATATGAATCACCCGTTTCAACTATCATTTTTTTTTACTTTTCTTTCACCAATTCTCGTGAAAAAATGAAAATTCATATAAGCTTAATTTGTTAAATGAAAAGGAATTGAAGGAACACTTTGAACTCATTCTCTTTGATTATTCTGCTACTTTATTTTCCACTCACTCATTCAATGCATGTACTCTATTTAACTATTTAATTGCTCCCTCTATTCTTCTTAAATAAAGCTTCACAAACTTCTACATGACTAATAATTTTGTTCTATAAGACTTTAGGATAAGTTGTTTTATCTATTTCTAGTTTAAATATTTTGTATTGAACACTACATATTGTCTATGATATATATTTGAAGAAAATTTTCATTGTCTCTGAATCTTATTATTTAATACAAATTATGATTCACACAACAATTGACAATTCGAATATCAATTTGATAGCTTTGGTTTTAGGTCAAATACTTCTGACAAAGAAGCAAAAATATGCATGTATAAAAGATAGGACTAACCAAATCTTAAATTAACATAGCAATAATAATCACAAACATAGTTCCTAATAGTGCATAGCGCACCTATAAAGACGCCTAGTCCAGTACAGTATACCACACAAATAACATATTACCCTCAATACTTGTTCATAAGGAGAGGGTCACCGTTAAGCCCAAAAATAGCACCAAAAAATCAGCGTCAACGAAAAATCCAAAACAAAAGCATGATTTTATGATGCATGACAGTTGTCAACAGACAATGCGGGTTTCACGAGTATTTTTGTTCATGCCCAAGAGTAATAAATATTATAGATGATGAATAATCCTAGCATGAAAGTACAAATCAAATTCATTTAAAAGAATAAACTTCCATGAGGACAGTATAATGATAAGGATTTAGTGAAAAATATTGGTCCAAATGAGTTTCAGCATTTCAGCCAATAGTTATCAATCACAGATAGTGACACGTAGCAGCAAAGTCAAAATGTTATGGCGGGAAGCAAGACGGCCACTACTTTAAATATTATAATACAAACTAAATAATTTATACTATATGTATAAATACTCAAACAAAATCAAGGAAATAAATGATAAATAATAAATCACACTTATTATTTTACCCAAAAAAATGCTTTAGAAAATGAGGAATAAATTACAATTCCACCCAAAAAATGACTAAACAATGTTGTTTTAGCGGTAAAAATGAGGTTTTGAGGCCTATATCATGGTAGCACCTCTGTAACATGCAAAAAGCCTGTTATTGTGGCTGTAATGGCTGCTATCAAAGACCACTTCGCTATTTGAATTCCATAGCAGGCCAGGACTCATTTGTTTGCTAATCCACTATGGCACTGCTACATTGCGCTATTGACTACTCAGTACTATCCAATTCGTTAATTAAAACCCAACTATTGTGTTGTAATAATGTATGCCAAAGGAAAGATGCAAGCAAATCCAATTTATACACAGTTCCAATGAAATGGGTGTGCATAACTAAATCACATCCCGGATGCATGATATTGTAGTCACATAGCCTACGTTCTTAAAAATAATATAACGGTCGACTCAAAAAGATGAATCTTATCTTATCAACGCCCATGTAACACTACACAGCTCACAAGAAATTTCATTTTTGCATCTCAAATAATGATAATCAAACAAAAATGTATGGCGCGAATATAAGGACAGTATATTAACCTTTTTTAATAAACCGGCGTCATCAGTTCTAGCCTTATCTGTTATACCCTTCTTGTCATACCCTGGCGGTGGAAATGGAAAGCAGCGCGACATTGCACGAAAACCGGATATGCCCCGTGTATCTTCCTTGTAAAATTGAGAATGCTTTAATTAGTTTCAAGTAGATTTGTTCCAGAAAGGGAACCGGCCAGCAACTATGCTCTTGTCCATGCACCATGTCACCGCATTCATTTCCAGCTTTAGTATTCCTCCATAAGCTTCTTACTCACTACAAACACAAATTATGGAAACCACCAAGGTTTACTTTACTTCCCTTCACCAAATATGCAAACAGCTGAAACTAATATTATCAAAATTTGATTCAAAATGAAGGAACCAAATGTACCCGGAGCACAGCAACCACTCTAATCTGACTAACTAAAGTCCTAGGGGTAAACAATTCAGCACAGCCCCAATAAGTATGTGCTTAGGATTAGGGTCTTAGGTTATATAAATCCAAAGGGTTTCTTCAGAAACCCCTGCAATCAGATCCTCGATACTTAGTTTAGGGCCAACAAAAAATCATCAACTTGTTTTCCTTTGTGTGAGGGCCCAAAACCAAAATCACCCCCAACAAAGGCCAAAACCCGAAGACCCCTGGCTTTGTGGCGTCTCTAGAATAGGGTCTGAAAGTGATGATCAGTGAGTAAAGAATTAATTAATATAGACAATCCTCTTCCATGCTCATAGAAGCAATGTGAAATACCATCATATCTTAAGAATAAGCAATCTCCAAGTACAAATGTTGAAGCACCGTGTTTCCAAACCCACAATTCGAACCTCTAAAAAGATCGGAGCTCATGCCCATTTCATGCAACTCCGGCGCAGTTGATCAAACTCTTATCAGTCCAGAGCTACGATCCAATGAAACCCTAGAAAATCCAGTAACAGAAACAAGCTGAGTACAAAGCGGGAATCTGGAACACCAGCAAAGAAAGAAAACCCTAATTTCAATCTAAAATTTTAAATAAATAAAAAATTGGAATAAAAGAATCAAAGACTTTTTGGGTACCTAAGCAATAATAGGTATCGATGAAAAGGGGGAAAGGGGTGAGAGTACTAGAGAGTGGGCATTGTAAGATGAGGAGGTGAGATCTCTGTCTCCCTCACATGAACACAATAGAGGGTATGATTATGAGAAACAATTAATAAAAAATAGGGAGAGAATGAGAAGAAAGAATCTTATTGTGGTTGGTATGAGGCGAAGCGAGAGATTCTGGGTTTTTTTTTCTTCCTTCCCTCACTGCTTCTTGTGTTGTGTATAATATGTCACCCTGCTTCTTCGTCTCTCTTGGTTTTGTATTATGTTATTGTTTATGTCTTCTCTTTTGTTGTGTCTATCTATTCTATTCTTTTGCTTAGGTGTTAGTTTTCCTCTCCTTCCCATTCCCTGTTTATTTTTATTCAAACTATATGCCTCAATAATAACAATATACGTACACCAAAACCATTCTCACTTCATATAACCTTCCTTCAATTTAAATTCTCCGTGAGTTAGCGATAGGAATTGATCCACGCTTAAGTAAAGTCAGGAGTTCGAATTTTGTCCATTAAATTTTGGGATCAGTTATCTCACCTTTTGAAGTACTTTCAATGTAATAAGAAAATTAGTCACTGCGCCCTAGATACTCCAGGGACGAAAAAAAAAATAAATTTTATCATTGTTCATGGTCCATGAACTTCTTTGTTTTTGGCACATTATTGGTTCACAATACAATAAATTCGATTTTTTCTCTTTTTTTTATTTTTTGACAAAGTTAATATATGTATCCTTTCATAAAAAATAATTATGTTTGAATTTAATAGAATTACTATTGCTTTGGCTACAAAACCTTTTTTTACTACTTTATGCAATTAGATATCCAAATTTTGTATTTGAGATTATAGATAAAATTATAATAATTTTGTATTAATTGATTCACATGTTTAATAATAAACTAAGTTTATTATTTTGCATTGAGAAAGGGTTAAAGGAGTTAAAATAAGGGTGATTTTAAGGTTTGGAAAAATTATGAATTTTAAATAATTTATTTTAAGATTATTAACATTGTTAAAGAATTTCATTTATCATATAATCATACATTTTCATGAGTATAAAGTATAAGAGATACATGTTAGTATTATTTTTTTAACCTAATATGTATTGATTCACATTTAAATTATTAATTAAAAAACCTTTAAACTTGCTTAATTTATTTAGCAAACGATTTTAACATATTGGTTGTATGTTGACCGATAAAAAAATATTGAAAATTTTACAACAATTTTTTTTGTTACAAATACCTTCGTGAAGAATAATTATATTCAAATTATAAAAATTATTATAAATTACAAAACTTTATTCTATATATTTTATGCAAATGTATACTCAAAACTTGTATTTGAGAATATTATTTAAATTGTAGTAAATTTGCATGAATTCACATGTTCAATAATGAAATAAGTTTGTTATTTTGCACAAGAATTAGGAAACAATACTAAAATAGGGATGATTACAAGATTGGAAGAGATTATGAATTTTAATTAATTTAGTTTAAATTCATTAACAATGTAAAAAGATTTCATTTATCATGCAATTGCACATTGTGCAATATGTAAAAGTACATAAGATATATCCTTATCTGTAATATATATATATATATATATATATATATGTGGGACATATTGCATCTCATCTATTTTTATTTTTATCAAGAGTGATCGATCTATATATATATATATATCATTCTCTTATTATTTAAATTTGGTATGCGTTAATTCGCATTTAAATGAATTTGACCATACCAACTTATTAACTGAAATTCAATTTTGCTTAATTTGCTTAGCGAATGGTTTTAATATATTAGTTGTGTGCTGACTAGTAAAAAAATAATAAAATAAAATAAAATCATACACCAACAAAAAAAATTAAAATTATACACTTATCTGATTGTAAATTATCTTGTATGATTTTTTTTTACTTTTATAATAATTATTTTAAAAGTCTTACTAATAGTAAATTTTTAATTGATTGACAAGCGTAAGACTACCTTATACTGAAAATACGTGATTATTAAACTAGAGAGATTAAGACACTTCATGTCTTTAATAATTACACGTAGATAAATATTAAAAATTGTAGATATTTATTCATAAATGATATAATATTTTTTTAAAATTTAAAGGGTATAATGGTTTACTACAAAGTGAAAACTAAAATAGTGATTACTAAAATATATGCTTTTTATAAATACTAGTAGAAAAAAGACATTTTATGTCTACATTGTATAAAAAGAAAAAATAAATAAATAAGGAAAAGAATGAGAAATTACTCATAAAAAAAATAGTTATTGAAAAATAAACAAAGAATAAAATGTTTCATGTAAAAATAAAAATTAAAAGTAGTTATTGAAAATAATATTCTTTTTATATATTAGTATAAATAGACTAAAAAAATAATCAAAATTTTGAACAAATTTATAAAAAGTGCTGTTCATTTATTTATTTTAGATTATACATATCTTTTGCAGAAGATTACTATGTTCAAGTTATAAAAAAAAATTATAGATTACAAAAGTTTCTTCCAAATATTTTATGTAACTATTTACTTAAAATTTGTACTAGAGATTATTGATTAAGTTGTAAAAATTTTACATTAGTCGAGTCATAAGTTTTTAATGACAAGCTAGATTTATAATTTTGCATAATAATTAAGAATATGATTAAAATATGGATGATTATAAAAGGATTGTAGATTATGAATTTCAATTAATTTAGTTTAAAATTACTAAGAATATAAAAGGATTTTATTTATCATGCATTGTCATGTGTCTAGTATATATTGATTCAAATTTAAATGGAGTTGACCGGACCAACTTATTGATTAGATAGATTTCGCTACACAAACTTTTTAATTTAAAAATATTGAATTTTATAATATAACTATTTTATATTTGATTTTTATAAAATGAATACAATAATTATTGATTAAAAAATAAATAATAAAGAATTGTGATAAATATAATAAAATTTAAAATTAATTATAATATTTGTTAATTTTTTATAAATAATTATTATTACATTTCATTTTTTAAAGAAAATTTCTTTATTTTAAAGGAGTTAAATCTAACCATTTTAGCGTATGAAGTAAATTATAAAAATCAAATATTTATTTATTTTTATTTTAAAATATGATTTTAATAATATAAAAATATTATTTTTAACATTTTTATCACTTTTATACTTATAAAATCATTTTATCATTTTAACATCATTAAGTCATATGTATACATGACTCAAGTTTTTATACATGCTCAAAAAAAACAATTAATATCGCAAATTTAATAACTCTCAAACACAAATAAAGTAAAATTTCACAAACATAATAAAAGTTAAAATTGTAAGCTTCAATGCAATATTCAACTTTTACATCTGATCTAACGTTATAAAAATCATATTGAACCAGCATGTCATATCAGGAATTTACTCATCGAATCTGGTACATAGTTGAACCAGATTAAATTGGGCATGAATTTTGGTGAATCCTCTTTGATTTCTGAACATTTTTTTAAAATTAAAACATTTTTTAAAAATAAATTTAAAAACAAGTCTCTTGAATTTTCTGAAATTTTTTTTGAAGTGTTGATAATTTAGACATAAATTTTGAATGTCAATTTTATTTACATTTTAAATTTTGAATTTATTTATAATTGTATCATTATTTTTAATTTAATTGTTAATGATTTTTTTATTATGAATTTGATATTCATGAATTTTTTTATCATCGAGAAAAATATTTATAAACCCTATTACTATGAATTTTAATTTATTGTTATTTCACATGTCGAGTACTTTATAATGATATTGATTTTAAATTTCAAATAACAAAATTGTGTTATTATGACTTGTGATTTTAAATTTGAGTTTTGTACATATAATTTTTTTTAGTACACAGACATGTGATATTTGTTAAAAAAAACTCTCAGGTTTAAGTTTTACGGATGATAAAAAATGAACAAAAGAAAATGTATTATTAAAAGTGACTAACCAAATTTATTAGTGAAGATTAGTAATTGACATAAATGATTAATACTTTACACTTATATGGTAATCTAAAAATAAGTATTATACTTAACTTAATAAATATACTGTTTAATGTTAATATGTAATTAAAAAATTAAATATAGACGATAATAATTCATAAAAATATGAAAGATAAAACTCATCATTAAAACTACATTTAATATTAATATTTATTCTTTGATCTATTTTACTTATGTCATGAGAAAACTATATATTAAGTAAATTAGATGTGTTGACAATGTATTATTTAACACAATTTTTTAACCTAATTTTTATTAGATAAAATCTATTAAAAATACAAAAATTATGATTCAGTCATTTAGTAAAACTTAATGTAAAAATCAGTGTGTATGTCTTCTTATATAGGAGTTTTTATCGGAGTCTATAGCCTTTGACTCAACAACATCTCAGTTTGTTTGAGTTTATAAGTTAGGTGTTGGATTGAGTAAAATCGTTATAATATGTATCTTTAAGAGGTTAATTATTGCTATAGAGATATGAAGACGGGTGAGGAATAAATAAAAAGAAGAATAAATGAAAAGGGGGACAATCTTATGATACATAACATATATTAAGTAAAATTATTGAAAAGTTTTAAGATTTAAATATATTTTTAGTTTTTTAAATTTAGAATAATTTTTTTTTGTCTTTTAAATTTAAAATTAATTTTTTTAATTCATGTAATTTAAAAAAATATTGTTTTAATCCTCTGGTATTGTCAGTAGCCTAACTCTTAATAACAAATTGAGACTTGTGTAACATTATTTATGTTTAATGTGATGTTTTCGTTAATAAGAAAATTAAAAGATGAATTTATTCACTTGATGATGTTTAAATAGAAAAACAAAAATAACATTTTTTTAAAATTAATGAATTAAAATGTTATTTTTAATTTGAAAAATTAAGTAAATTTATTTCACATTTAAGTAACTACAAATATATTTAAATATATATTTAATAATTATCGATAAAGACTTATTTGATGGAAATATTATTAAATAATATTAGCAGAAAACATTATTTGATATTATTAAATAATGTTGTAAAATTGTTTTTTCACTTAGCATTGAATCTCAAATGACAGTAAAATATTTTAAGAAAATTTACATCATGCTCTCACACGTAGTCCTTCCAACGTGAATTTGATATTCTATTTCTTTCACTTTTCCGCACGTCCACCTTCCATGAATTAGTTGCCACCTGTCCCTTATATGATGTGCCAGCTTCAGTCTCCATGCTTTTTCCCTTAATTACCCTTCTCTCATTTGTAGATGTGACAATAT